ACAATATTTTCCGAATATCCTATAATGCTTTATTAATCTTACATACCTGTGGAAAGCATTGGAGTTCCAATACATTGGACCGACGGGCTTAAAATCGGGGTCATCATACGTACGATTTGTAAACTTAGCTTCCTTGATTCCGGCCCGAGCCTTTTGAAGGCCGATTTCAAGCTTATCCAAATCAGTAACCACCTTCTCTAGTTCAACTTTCCTCATGGGAGGGGTATGTGTTTCATTTAAGGTAGTGACGATGATATCGGTTGAATTTGGAGTCATGTCCTTTAATGTCATTGAACTCCCATTCGTCGCCTGTTGAACTCAGCTAAATTAGTCTTTTTGTGTAACAACATCACTTAACCTTTTTTTTTTTTTTTTTTTTTTTTTTTTTTTTTTTTTGGTGAAGAAATCACTTAACCACATTTAGTAAAGTTATTCCGGTAGTCAAATAAATAAAATAAAAAATTCTAAAAAAAAATCAATTCACACTTCTCTACTAAATTTTCACATTTGAAAAAAAATAAAATAAAATAAAATAAAAAACGTATCCACTCAATACTAATATTACCTCCATTACATATTTTTTACAACGAATAAACATTTTTCCTCTCTACTTTATATCAAATTGTTGCAAATAATATGTAACAAAGATAGTAATCGCTTTGATTTTGTAACGTGTTCTAGTACAGTAGTACTACTTCCCTTCTTAAAAGATGTTCACACTATATAATCCTTAAAAAGAACAACGGAGGTACAGTAGTAAATACATTTACATTATACTCCGTATTACGATGCTACATTAAATATTGTGGTAAACGATTAATCTATTGAGAAGAAATCTCTATTAAGAACAATAGTTTTAAATATAAGTACTACATTATTTTAAGTTGTGAAAGATATATACTCTCAAATTACCATTAGTGATTAACCCAAATTTTGGTCCATCTTATTGTACCTACATAGATAAGGTTTCAAGCTATATATAGTGCAAAATAATTTTAGTGCAAAATAATTTTAGTGCATAGACCTAACTACAAAGAAAACATAGTATCAAACTATCAATTGATTAATTCTACGGAAGTAAGGAGTATAAATAGATTGAAAGTATAATTATGAAGAACTTGAATATGTGCATTATTCAATTATGCCCTACGAATAAAAAATTTGTTTCAAGTAATCCATTCTCCTTTGTTCTTAATTGACGTATTAATTTCGTTCCAACCCGAAGTAAAATACATGCACTCGTCAATACTACACTCAACACATTCATTAGTTCCAACCCCCCCAAAAAAAAAAAAAAAAAAAAAAAAAAAAACTACTTTTCTAGATTTTTTAGGACAAAAACACGGGAGAGAAATACAAGGGAAAGTAAATGATTTTCTTGTTTTTGTAAGTGTCTTCTGGACATTTGGGAAGGATGAAAACTTTCTTTAACACACTTCTTAGTAATCATTGAACAATATAAATGTGTGTGACCCGTAATTAAAACAAAACTCTTACTAAATTTTGTTTTCATGAGATAAAAAAGGATAGGACACCAAAGTGAAATTATGTCAAATCTCCGAGCATCAAAGTGAAAGTTTTCGTATACAACACCATGTCACTAATGCAAAAACATGTCACGAAAAACGAAAGACTAAGAATGAGTACAAAAAATAAACGGAAAAAAAGAGAGAAAAAGTGATAAAAATTCTCACAAGTGCAAAAACAGATGAGTTATTAGCAGCTTGAATTGTTGCAACATGATCAGAAGGTGTTGATAAAACAGATTCCTCTGTTACAACACTAGCTTTCTCTGCTATTATTCCTTCTTCAATTTTCAACCTCAAATCTTCAGCTGAAACTTGGTGTTTCTCCCTTGAATTTACACCTGATGAAGTTTTCGATGACGAAAACAAAGGGTTTGGATTTAGACCACCATTGAACGAAACAAACCCAAATAACAAAATCAATGGTAAAGTAAAGCAAACTATTACTTTCACTAATGGTGATGATAAATACAAATACCCCATTTTATTTTTGTTATTTTCTTCTAATTTAATCTCTTGTAATTGTTCTAAATTTGATCACTTAAAATTATATGATTATATCAACCTCAAAGTTTTTTTTGGTATGGTGCAACATGTTTAGTTGTTATATCTTTACACTGAAAAAAGGGGTTATTGTAAAAAGAAGGTGGTTTAGTATTTGGTAGTAGGAAGACAAAAGAAGTGAAAAGTTTAATGGTTTTATAATTAAAAAAAGTGGGTCAGAAATCAAGAGAAAGTGAACATCTGGTGATAAATAGTTGCACCTTCAATTCAACCAGCCAGGCGTCTAATTGAACAGACCTTGTTTTGGAATCAAGTACATGCAATATAAAGGAGAATGAAACCAAAAACAAGTTTAAAGCCAAATGTAAGGGTGGGGGTCAATGTGAGTGTGAACCTTTTTGTTTGACTGTTATTCCTTGCTACGTGACAAATCTGTTTTTTGGAGTTATTGATAGAGTTCAAATTGATTCGAGCTGAGAATACCCTGATCAAATTGGAAGTGATTGAAGGAGAACTATGTGGAGTATTCCCTTCATTTCAAATTAATTGCAGCATTTTTTTCCATTCGATGCAATATATATATATATAACTTGAGCCACTATGACGTTCGGTTTGACATCTCTAGTTTTTGGTAGACTTTGTTGTTAGGTATGGTAGTGTTTTTAATATAATGTGTCGATGTCATGCAATTATAATGATAATCGGGCTTTTTGGGCCATATTCGACGGATCTTTAAATACCTAATTAAACATGTTAAAAAGTACTTGTCCATGATCGGGTTCGACTCTGGGACGATAAGTTATGCCCATAGCCCGCCCAAAATTGTGCTATACCCAGTTTCATCAATTCTACTTACAATAAGGGTCAATAAATTTCAATTTTTATAAGTTCTTTAAATAAGCTTTATACTTACAATTAGAGGTGATCGGATATCTGGTGTTGCATATCGTGTCTAGCCCACATCTAATCTAGAGGTGATAAAAAATCGGGTCGGGTCGGGCCTTGACACAATTTCTCGTGCCCAAACCCGTAAAAAAAGTAGCGGGCTTATCAGGACAAAGCGGGCATTTCGGGCTTTTTTGGGTCAGGTTTGGGCTTTTTAACTAAAAATGTATTTTTATGCTTTGCCCAAACCCGCCCTATTTTCGGGCCGGACTAGCGGGCCGGGCCAATATTGATCACCTCTAATCTAATTGATAGCCTATTAAGCTTGTTGAATATTGTGTTGTAATGTGGTTACGTGAAAGCCAAATACTCCCTCTGTTTTTTTTTTAGCTATACTTGCTATTTTTGTCCATTTTTTTTTTAAAAAAAAAACTACACTTTCTCTTTAGGATACCTTTGCAATTTAATAATCTAAGCTAAGAGACACATGCAATGTGTGCGTGAACAATATAAAATCTATCATACTCGATTCTTTTTTTTTTTTCCTGAAATGTTATCCTCCTTTTTTTTTTGAAGGAAAATGTTATCCTCCTTATTCTGATAAGATTAAAAAGATATAGTTAAAAATTGTTGATAAAAAAAATATATATATATTAGTTATTAAATAGTGAAGAATTGTAACATATATTATTTACAACTTTATTATTTGATAAACAAGTAATAATGTTTAGTGCTGTCAAATTTCAAACTGAAACCGTTTAACTACCCAAAACAAACCGACCCAAGTGAGAACCGAATCGATTAAAAATCATTTTTTGAAACCAAAAACCGACCCGAACCGTATGTGAATGAACCCGAAACCGAACCGATCCGAATAACGTTACACCGTATAAGAACCGAACCCGTTAATGAACTTAACCAGTTCTAAACCGAACTGAAATCAAACCGAACCGAAAAAGAACCGAATTGTTAAATTTTTACCTTAAATTATACAATTATGACTTGTGCTTTCCTAATGAAAAATAAAAAAAGTTAAATAAGGTAAACTAATAATAAAATCTGTTGTACTTTAATGTTAGATTCCAAATATATTTGTTTTCTTATTTAATGTGATTGATTCCATATGAGACTAACATTATGAAACGGATGGAGTAGTATTTTCTTCATTTTGTTGAGTGTTACTTAATTACTAATTTCATAAACTAAGGATAAGTGAAAATGGGGACTATACATGTTATTATGTGAATACTTTTGTATTAAAGATGAGAGAGAGAAAGTTGAGATTTGTTAAATAAAATGGGTAAAAATGAAAAGTGAGTAGAATTTGGAAAAAGGGTGTGAGTATATTTTTTGCTTTTTGCCTATTGAAAGAACTCTCTATCTAATATCCACTACATTACAAGTCCACAAAATCTAGCTTAGCCCAATATATTGCTGCAAATATCATGAACATTGTTATGGGTAAAAATCTGCAAGAGTTAGTCAACGACAGTCAATGAAGGTCAATGACGAAGACTCCCCTTGACGAAGCCGCAAGCTCGACGACGTCTTGTCAGCATCGACGGAAGACAAAGTCAAGCAACAACTCCCTATTTTTTAGGAAGAAGATAAGCAGGGACTTAGTCCAAACTCAGCTGAATCAGTCCGGTAGAATTCAAAACAGAAAGAATATTTTCAGCAACTAAAGTCCGATAATCATGGGCACAAGCCTATCTCCTTGCAACGGCTAGGGTTTAACCTAGCAAACCGTCTATATAAAGGGCAAGAACAACAATGAGCAAAGGACATTCTCATCCAACGATATACATCCTACATCACATCTTGTAAACTGATATTATTATTTTTGCATAGTGAAAGTTTGGTAAATCCTCATTCTACCCGCGGTTTTTACCTTCATTGGGTTTTCCGCGTGACCAATTCCTCGTGTCATCTATTCTCTTTTCTTAGTCTTGTCTTATTTTTGATTTTGCTTAGTTGATCCGTAGCCTATATTTTGATACTCAATCCCACCTAACAAAAATTAGCATAAACAAACATGATATTTAAATTTCAAAAAAATAAATACGGACTATAATAAGGCTTGCTTTACAACTCTTGATGATCATGAACTTGCACATTTAATCTCCGAAGCCAAACTGAATGTAATATCATATGAAAAAAATCATAATGTTGAGGAGGTGAATGCACTTCAAAATGCTTCCTTACTTGAAGCACTCTTCTATACATCTTCATATGTCGCACCCTAGAAATGCTCAATAAAATCGTTTTCAGGTTCGGCATGTCCTTGACTGCGACCTCAACCGAGAAGGCCTTCCAATTCAACACATCACTAAATGGTGGTACGTAGTGGTCGGATATAAGAACCGGCACACACCCAGTGTAGATCGCTTCAACTATCTGATGAGTGACATTTATGTCACTCTTAGGGGTAGTATTTAGGTCTTTTTCCTCTTAATTTTCTTAGGTTTTTCCACCTCATTATCCTCTTATGGCTTCTTTTTGTGTTGATGAAAAGTAATGCTTATTTTGATAATCTTTATGCATTATTTTATCATCCCCATGCTCTCGTGAACTTTGGTATCTTCTGCAGGTTCCGTGACAGTCCTATGCACGGTGGGAGGCCCCTTGGCCAAGCATGGAAGCCATGGACAAAGGAAAGAGGGACAAAAGGGAAGGAGAGGAAGCAAGAAAAGGAAGTGCAAGAGGAGGTGTGGCCGAACCTCTGAAAGGTCCGGTCGAACCTTGGTGTGGTCAAACTTTTCAAAAGTTCGACCGAACCTCCAGGGTGCAGTGAAGGCAGTGTCAAACCTGTTTTCAGCAATTTTGCAGGAGAGGTCGAACCTCAAAAGTTCGACCAAACAAGGATCAGGGAGGTTCGACCGAACCTACACATGGTTCGACCGAACCTACCCTGAGTCCGACCGAACTTACCCATAGTTCGGTCGGACCTTTTCCCGATCTCAGCCGATTTTGTACGGACTATTTAAGGTCCTTTTGAGGTCGTTTAAAAGAAGACGGGAGAAGCAGGACAGTAGCCTAGTTTTCAGAAACCTCCCTTAGTTTGAAACATTCCTTAGGATTAATTTAGCTTAGTTTTCATCAAATCAAATCATTGTATTAGTGAAATTCAAGAATTATTCTCAAAGTTGGGCAATTTGTATTCAATATTTGAAGCTTCAATTAGTAATTTCTCCAACCTTCTTCCTTTTAATTTCAGATTTCATTTGGTATTTGCATGTTATTTAAATCTTCTTAGTTCTTGGTAATTTGTTATTAGATGATAGTTATTTCAATTGTTAACCACTTTTCCCCAATTATTGAAGTATTTAGAACCCTAATTCTTGATTGCATGTTGATAAACATGAGTTGTGAGTAGTTTTCTTGCTAGGGGTTGGGTGAAGCTCGACCTTTTTGGGTTAACTATGCAAATGTGGGAGAAGCATTGATGTTTGTATTGCAATTAAATTGATTATATGAGATTGCTTGTTAGTTCCTCATGATAGGTTTAGCTACCCTTGACTAAGGAGCTTGATAGTATGATATGCCTAATTTGACATGGAAGTGTAAATTGAGTACGTCATTACTTATTGTAATTTGATTATGTATCATCTATTGCTAAACTAATGAGGAATCTAAGTTTAGTAGTGTGAGTTGTTTTCTAATTGCATGAGGTTGATTTTACATATAGTCCTTGCTATATCTTGTCTATTTTACTCCCCGTTTGCCTATTTGCCTTGGTTGAGCGGATCTCATTCCCTAGTATCTTTAATTCATTGATTTAGCACCATAGTTTGTTTGTCTTCTTGACGAACCCCTATTCACCAATTGACTTCGAGCTAGCTTAAGTGTAAAGATCTTTGGCAATCATATCATGTTCCTTGTGGACCGAACTCTTACTTGTCATTATGCTTGGTTTGTAAGGTGTTTGTTAATAAATGTGTTTGATTGAGTGTGGAATGTACGACCGTTCGCACGCCCATCAAAATGGCGCCGTTGCCGGGGAACGGTGTTGTTGATAGCTAATTGATTACTTGAGTCTAGTTCACCATAAAAAAAATTTCAAAAAGATTGTCTCTTTTTGGCTACACTTGTAGCCTTGGACTAATTGCGTTTGTTGAGAGTGTATGCGCAGAACTCATAACAGGATCTTGGTACCTTACGATCCCGAGATTGAGCAAACTTATAGAAGGAGAAAAAGAGCCGGTTCTAGGCCGTTTACTACTCCCCCAGCTAGAGAGACCAATTTCGAGGAGGATCGAGATCAAATGGGTGACGCGGAACCACCACCTCAAAGACCTTTAAAGGAGTTGGGAACTCCGGGAGCTTATAGAGCTTCAAGCGGCATTGCTCCACCCGTTACTCAAGCCAATGACTTCAAGATTCGGCCCGCAATGATTAATTTGATTGAAAGGAGGCAATATAGTGGAGCAAAACATGAGAGCCCTCTTGCACACTTGAACGAGTTCGAAAAATATTGTAACACGATCAAGGTCAATGGGGTAACTCAAGAGTTTGTGAGACTAAAGTTGTTTCCTTTTTCTTTGATAGGAAGAGCTCTGGAATGGCTTGAGAAGGAGGTAAGGCCTAACTCCTTGAGAACTTGGGACGAGGTCACCACGGCTTTCTTAGGAAGATTCTATTCCCAAAAGAAGACGGCCGAGGCAAGAGCTTTGATCCAAGGTTTCCGTCAAAAAGCTAGTGAAACCATTTATGAAGCATGGGAACGATACAAGGAATATCAAAGGGAGTGCCCTCATCATGGCATTCCGTCATACCAAGTGCTTCAAATTTTCTATGGGGGCTTGAGCCCACAAGGAAAGACTAGCTTGGATGCAGGAGCGGGTGGCCCGATTATGAACAAGACGGAGGAGCAAGTCATAGAGATAATTGAGGATGTGGTGAGGCACCACATGGATTGGCAAGAAGGAGAGAGAGATTCTCTAAACAAGGGAGGAAATGCGGTTTACTCCGTTGATCATCTTAATGCCATCAACAATTTGACCTCCCAAATCGCCAACCTTGGAAAGGAGATGACGTCCATTAAGGCAAAACTAGAGACCTCTAGTTCAACACAAGAGCATCCCTCCCAATCTAAGGGGAGAGGTATGAATTCTAACTCTTCTCCCTCTACTTCTAATAACATGCCTCATGGATGTTTGTTTTGTGAAAATTGTGGGTCTTATGACCATGATACCTCTTCTTGTAATTATGATTTCCAACCCCAACCCCAATACGAAGATGGTAATGAAAATGAAAATGAACAAGTCAATGCCTTGTCTTATGATAATAGACATAGGAATGACAATCAAAGATACTTACCACCAAATAGAAGAGAACAAGGGGGGAATTCCTATAACCAAAGAGGAAATGATTACGATTACCATAATCAAAATCAATGGGGAAGTAGGAACCAAAGGGACCAAAATCCCCAAGGTAACTACAACCAACAAGGTGGTTATGGTAACCATAATCATAATAATCAAGGAAACTATGGGAATCAAGGGCAATTTCACCAAGGGGGAAACTCTAATAATCGGAACAATTGGAAAAACAATAATAATAGAGTTTCTTCTAATCAAAATACGTCCAATTCGAATGCTAGAGGTAATAGGGCTTCCCAAGACAACCACTATGCACAAGCACCACATAGTAGGTCTAGCTTGGAGGAAATGATGGAAAATCAAACTAAAATGTTCAATTCTTTCATGGCCTCAAGTGAAAAGAAATTTAGTGAAGTAATGACCCATAACAAAATGCTTGAAACACAAATTTCTCAATTGGCCAATGCTTTAAAAGAGGGAGCTAGCACTTCTAAACTTCCACCCCAAGGACTTGACCCCAAGAAACCGGTGAATTCTATATCAACTAGGAGTGGGAAAGTGTTGGAAGAGAGAGTCCCTAAGGAAAACAATGAGAAAGTGAACATGAGTGAGCCTCCCTTTAAAAGCGATTTTGAACAAGAGAGAGAGCAAAACCATGAGAATGAAAAGGAGAAAGAATGTGAGAAAGAAAAAGAATTTGAGAAAGAGAGAAGAGAAAAAGAGAGTGAAAAAGAAACCAAACAATTGAAAAGACTTCCATATCCCTATAAATTTGTGAGACACAAATTAGATGTGCAATTCGGAAAATTCCTTGAAACACTGAAGCAAATTCACCTTTCAATCCCTTTTACCGATGCTATCAAGCAAATGCCTAACTATGCTAGGTTTTTAAAAGATATTTTGAGTGGAAGGAGAAAGTGTGATGTGGTGGAAACGGTGAATCTCACCGAGAATTGTAGTGCTATTATCATGAATAAGATGCCACCAAAGTTAAAAGATCCCGGTAACTTTTCTATCCCATGTGCAATATACAAGATGCAAATTGATAATGCTTTGTGTGACCTAGGGGCTAGTGTTAGTCTAATGCCATACTCGGTATACCAAAGACTTGGGATAGGGGAACTTCTACCCACCAACATCACCCTTCAATTGGCCGATCGCTCTATTAAATTCCCAAAGGGTAAGGTAGAGGATGTTCCTCTAAGGGTGGGGAAGTTTGTAATCCCGGTGGATTTTGTTGTGTTAGAGATGGATGAAGATGTTAACATTCCAATAATTCTAGGAAGACCTTTTCTTGCTACTTCGGGTGCTTTAATAGATGTTCAAAGTGCTAAAATTTCACTAAAAGTAGGAGATGAGGTGATAGAATTTGATTTGAATGAGAGCATGAAACATCCAAGCTCTAGTCTTGATAATTGCATGATGATTGATACTATTGATTCTATTGTAACTTCTATGCATGAGCACTTGCTCACTACTAACGATGCCCTTGAGAATGTCCTTTTGAACAAGGAAAAGATAGGTGACCAAAGCAAAGAGATGGCATTGTATGAAGAGATGCTTGAAGGAAGTACGGAATCAAGCAATGAGCAAGTGTGCATGGGAATCACAACACATGATGCATTAGAAGTAGCTATCTCAACAGAAGGTAAGGGTGTTCCAATGGTAGAGTTGAAACCTCTACCATCACACCTAAGGTATGAGTTTCTAGGCCCCAATTCAACTTTTCCGGTTATTGTGAATTCTTCTTTGAACGAGTGCCAAACTCAAATGTTATGTGGTGTTTTGAGAGATCACCAAGGTGCTTTAGGCTATACCATAGATAACCTCAAAGGTATTAGCCCCGCTTTATGTATGCACCACATAACACTTGAGGAGGGTGCTAAGCCTTCCATTGAGAGGCAAAGGAAACTCAATCCTCAAATGGGGGAGGTGGTGAAGAAGGAAATCACCAAACTCCTTGATGCCGGCATCATCTTCCCCATTTCGAGTTCTATATGGGTTTCCCCCGTTCATGTGGTCCCTAAAAAGGGAGGAATGACCGTAGTTGAAAATGAGAATGGTAATCTCATTTCA